GGGCGGCGTCCACCGCTCGCAGGGCGTCCGGCCTCCTGCGTCCGGATCCTGCACGTGGGAGACCCTCGGTGAGAAGAGGGCGGCCGGGGGCAGGACGGGTGTCGGCGCAGGGGCGGGTCCGGCCACGAGGGAAATGACCCGCGTGACCAGAGCCCCTCAGGCCGCGCCAGGGAAGGGTGTCGCTACTGCACTGAGCTGAGTCCCCGGGGCTGGCCGCTAAGACTTTACTCACAGCGAGCTCCCGGCAGCTGACCGAGTCCCGAGGGCTGACTCGGCAAGACAGGGCGAGGCGCAGGGCTGCCACTGTCAATAACGACTGACGCCAACACGGAGACCCCAGTGGGGAGAGCGGCTGCCAGGCCAGAAAGGCAGCCGGCGACTCGAGTCCCCACCAGGGTCAGGACGGCGGCCACGGCGCTGGCTTCATGGGAGGGGCGGGCGGGGACAAGCGGCAGCGGAGGCGACAGGGCTCACGCCGTATCTGCAGAACAGACGGCGCCCGTCGGCCTGATCGCAGGCCGGGGCTACTATTCCCCGCGCTTCTCCAACTGCTGCAGCATCCTAGGGAGACACGCACGCTCCCCCAGGCTGGGTCTGTGTCGGGCTCCAGAGGGACGAGGGCAGAAGCCAGTGGCCGCCAGTGGCCGCCAGTGGCCGCCAGTGGCCGCCAGTGGCCGCCAGGGCTCCGATTCTGAGCTGCAAGCGCTGAGGAGTGTTAGGGCGGCGTCTGGTGGCCTGGAAACTCGTCAGGTCATGCTGTGACAACACAAAGCCGGCGCCCTTGTGCAGGGAGCGGCTGCTGCCGCCCAGCTGGCGCAGCCACACCCCGGGCTGTGTGCATAAACAAACCTGACTTGGGGGGAAGCAAAAGAGAACCGACTTGCTCTGTAAGGGCAAAATAAACTCTGCGGCTCTCGAGATGGGTCCCACTGGGCCACAAATTTGCAGAGACGCGCTAGGTCCAAGCCGCTGAGGAGAACGAGCGAGGTCGGAGGACCTGCTAGGGACGTTAGCGGCTGACTGACTCTGAATCGGGGGGACTCAGTGACCAAGAGATCCTGGCCTCGTCATTACGCCAGGAAACGCCTTGGCTCTCGGGACAGCATCACTTCAGCGCTCCCGTGGCCAGAGCTGCCCGCCTGTCACTCGCAGGTCTGTTACCTTTGACCTTTTCCTAACAAGCCCGCCCCTTACAAGTGCCAATGAACAAACAGAACAGAGGTACAAGCCTTTCACGATTACCAAGATGCTCTACAACAAACTTGCGATCAACTTAGTATCACCAGTGGGAGACCGAATATAATCACGGGGTGGCCTCACTGAAGAGCTAATTTACTGTGAACGTGATCAGTAAATGCTCTCTCTTGCTGAACCGTCAGATCATTAAAAAAAAAATCATGAATTGTTCGATTCCTGTAACAGGGATGTTTCGTACAAGCTGGTACTAAATGTTTCCCTTGATCTCTAAACAACTGACGAGAACAGTTGTCAACTTTTGACAACTTTTGAGGTGTCTGGAGGCAGCACAGCAGGACCCTAAGGGGAGACAGGAGCGGGCGCGAGGAAGACACGGGAGTCAGGGTAGGGTGCAAGTCTTCCTGCCATTCCCTCAGCAGGTCTCTACTTACACTGTTAGCAAGGAGTTCGTTGCAATAATGCACAGGGTGAGTTCATGAGAGATCGCCATAAACGATCTCAAGGACAAGGGGGAGAAGCATTTTCTCTTAACAATTTATGGTGTAATAGATGATACGTTGTGTGATAGTTATCATGTGTACAGCTGTCTAGTTATCATCAAAGGAAGGGGGGTCTGGGAAAGGGTGAGCTTGTTAGCAAAAGGTTGTTCAGGGTCTTGGGTAGTAATAAATTGTGTTAGCAGTGTTAGCAGTGACTGTCTAAAGAAAGGCTAGCGGCTAGTTTAAGGCTGGCGGAGTAGTTAGTGCTTGTTTTAAAAGGGAGTAAATGAAGAGAAAGCTGTACAGTTGTATATCAAACGACACCTGTGCAGTCAGGGTTAAAATTTGTCCATTCCGCCCTGGGAGCCTTATCTGAGGTGGTCATAACATAAGTTAGCAGTGGACAGTCTGGCTTTTCAGAGCTTGTCCCGATCCACCCGGAATCTGTCAGACGATGGCGTTGCACAGCTGGTGTCAAAGTGTCCACCACACCCGAGGAGGAGACGCAAGGGCAGCCCCCTGCCTGTATTGCAGCTTTGGCTGTGGGATGTTTAACACGCCTGCCCACGTTACAATTTCTAAAACGAGGCCCTGGGGCGCCGGGCCAGGCTCAGCACTGTGAAGCTGTCGGCAGCGGGCCCGACGCACCCTGGCCGGGGAGTGCCCCAGGGCGCAGCAGACTCTCCTGACTCCCCGCTGCCCCTCGGCAGTGAATCAGTGCGCCCCCCTGTTCTGCTCCCCGCTCGGTCTCTGGGGCGGCATCTCACTCCCCACACCTGTGGCCTGCACCCCAGTTCTTGTGATATAAATAAAATCTTTAAAAAAATGTTTTAATGTTAAAATTGTCAAGTGAAACAAAAACCTATTTTCACACACTAACAGCATCTTCAGTCACA